TACCTTACATTTCTTTAAGGAAAGTTTCTTTCTTTTATCAATTTCACACTCTTCCATTTCATCCATCTCTTGCTCTCATTTTCTCAATATCTGACGGTCAGCAACATGATTTGAGAGCAAGGTTACTTAGCTGCCGTTGCCATGGGGACCAGAGAGAAAGATAGAAAGTGAGAAAGAGAGCAAGAGCAAGAGACTCAAGACTGAAAGGGGAAAACAAAGGTTAGGGAAGGAAATTGAGCGTTGGATGTTGTCAGCCATTTTTTGTCAGCAAAACCTATTATTTATAGCACAGGCTGGGACACAGATGAAAGAAATGAAGAGCAAAGATTTCTGGAAAAAAGGTGTGATCAAAATCATTTGGCCGATTTTGATCTGGCATTTGAAACAGAAGAACAATTTATAGTAATGAATACTATGAAATGTACTAATGCTTGGGACGCACAATAATGTGGGAATCTCCATATGATGAGAAAAAATCATTAGCATCAAACAGATGATTAGATATGAATGATATTTTAAACAGATATTTGATGAGACATTATTTGTGCTCTTGGAAAATCAGAATGCTTGGCTGATGCTGGGCCACTGCACTAAAATATGTGCATTTTATTTGCGTGCATTATGTGCATTTAACTCCATTTCTAACCGCCTACGAGTGAATGCACATTTCTTTGTGGTAATATTGGCATTGGCACTCTGCCCCCAAAGCATAATATTGTGATTTACCCACTCTAATACATCCAAGGTATATTACCAGTTAATTATCAAGGAAATGAGCTGGGAAACACTAGTTTAATCAGTCAAATGGAAATTCACTGAAGGTACACTGGCATGCAGGTCAATCAATACTAATTTTCTTTTTTCTCCAAGTGTAGTACTCCATCCTCTTTTCACCTCTATTTTTTACTTTATACCACCTGCTTTATGGAACGGATGTGAAAAAACTAAATAGAGTACAGACGTTAATACTCCTTTTTCACACTCTCTCCCTATTCCCATTGCTCTGACTTTATAGCACTAATATTTGGTTAATAGCTGACCAGTATCTGTCATATTCTGAGTTTAAAAACTCCAATAGCACTGCTGTGTCTGATCCACTCGCACCAGCACCACATACACTGTCATACTACCACCACATCAGTGTCACTGCAGTGCTGTGAATGACACATCATCCAAATAATACCTGCCCTGTGGTGGTTCTGTGGGGGTCCTGATCATTGAAGAAAAGGGTAAAAAGGGGCTATCAAAGTATGCAGTGCAACAGACTCACTATAGTCTGTAACTGTAGAACTACATAGTGCACCTAAATGGTAAGTGGAGCTGAAAAAATGGACAGTGAGTGCAGAAACAAAGAGGTGGTTTTGATGTGGTTCTAATGGCTGGTGTATGTAAGGTCCTCCAAAAACATGTCTAAATCATGTGCATCTCTAATATTAGAGCAGTTCCAAGGTTCCAAATGCATTGTTTAATAGTGTAAGCCAAGCTGACAGGTGCTGGAGACAAAAATAAGTGCGATAAGCCTTGTGTATTAGTTCATCATTCCATTTTGGTAGCTTTATTTGCGTGGCTACTCTGCTTGTAGCTCTCAGCATTCATGTGTGGAATTCCTTATATTAAGTGTGCTGATCTAGAATCTGTTCCCCTGGATTGGGTACCTGTTAACTAGTATGACAAGCAAATGCAGTACTCGTACCAAGTGAACATTGTCACCTAAGTCAAGTTCTCCAAAGAATTATCCAACGTTCTAAGAGCAGTTGTAATATTTACCATAAAACACTTCTTCTAAGGTACCCCTTTATTAGGTGCCCCAAACGAACACAAGTTTGTATGATTTTGCCTTTAGAACATGACTGAATGATTCTATAAGGCGCTGGACATATGTCTTAGATATATTTGTTGATATTGTCATGCAGTTCCTGTAGATTTCTTGGCCACACATTCATGCTGAAACCAACTGAAGTTTTGACCACAAAACTAGATGATTGAAGGTTGGAAATAGATGGTCTGATAAACCCTGATGTCTGCTGAGGCATACAGATGGTATGAACCCATGGATGGTTTCAATAGCACAAGCTGTTTCTAGAGGTGTTATCATGTGGAAAATGCTTATAATCTTCAGCCATCTAGTTTTGATGTTTCTCATCCCAGCGGTGCCCCACTGGACTGATATCTGGGGGATTGTGCAGGTCATTGACGTAAACTGAAGCCACTGTCATGTCCTTAAAACAGTTTGTATATTATCCTGGCTGAGCATCTAATGCACAAAGAGAACATTCACCACAGCATTATTCCACCAGCAATAGCCTGTCCCACTAAAACAAGACAGGAGGCATCCGTGAATTCATGCTGTGTCTGCCAAATTCAAATGCCCACTCATATTTCTGTTCATAGCTAACATGAAGTGGAACAGAGCGTGGTCTACTTCGTTTGTAATTGATTCGAGGTTTGATGCATTCTGCTTTCAGTGATTCACTTCCACACATCACTGCTGTAAAGATCTGTTATTTTAGTACTTTGTTGGCTATTCTCCTCTATACTTTCTCTAATCATGTATTTTCACATGTTGTAGTTCATGAAATCCAATGAGGTTGTTGGAGCCATCATTAATTGAATCATCAGTCACAGTATATAGTTTCTAAGATCATACATTTTGCCCAGTGTAATGTTTGATCCAAAACCAACTTGTAAGTCTTGTATGTATGCATGTTTTCCATACTGAGCTGCATCCACATAAAAAAAATCAAGCAACCATGGGCATGAATCAGGACATGAGCTTTCCAGTCATCATTGTATATTGAAGCCGTTTCATGAATTTTTACATTTTTGACTTTAGCATAACATGTTTAATACAGAAACCTTTACCTCATAATAACTCTTTTTCTGATATTTATGGCATTATCATGGCAAAACAAATGTTTTCTCAAGATCTTGAGTTATTTATATCACAACACAGCAAACATTGTTTTATGAAGATAACATTCATTATGTTGTGATTATTGCATAAATATCTCAAGATCTCAAGAAAAGAACATTTGTTATGTCATGATGACATAACTCAAGATATTGAGAAAAGAGATTTAAAAATCTGCTAATCAGATTTTAGGATCGAAAGTATTATTGTTCCATTTTTGGAGAAGCAGGCTATCTGCAATTAATTCGTATAAAGGAGTTACAAGGTGAATATCATGATTATATAACTCTACTTACTTATTTCAAGCTATACAACACACAACCATACCATGATATCATGGTACACCATTGAAGGAGGGTAAGAGATAGATAGCTGGTGAGAACATATTACTTAGTAGTGCACAGTGCATTGTTGTATTATAACCAGTTAATATAAAATATTTGGAAAGGGGACCAAAGATGAATTGGCACTGATTTTTTGTGTCTAAATATGCAAAGAAAACTCCTAATAACCTAATTGCACACTTTCCATTTACGATTTACACATTCCAGTGCAAATTGTGTATGTTTTATTCATTGTTATTATTGTGTTAGAATTAACAAAGAAATAAACACTGCAGTCGGTTTACATAGATTGATAGCAGATTGATGCCCACTTAAAAAGAAGAGAGTTGTAATTCATATTTTAATGGGATAAAAGCATTAAGTTTCCGGGGCTAACCCATTAACATAGAGTGAACAAAACACAGTAAAACATGACATAAAAGCATGGGTAAGTTTCAGTGGTTTGACACCATTACTATTTACTGGCTCCACTTTCAAAACACAGCACTTGCAAAGCTGTGTATTTTATACTTGTTAAATACTGCATGTACAAAAATATGTGGACACCCCTTTCAATTGCATACAGCCAAGCAATCTCTATAGAAGACCATTGACAATAGAATGGGGTCATGGACTCATGGACTCTCTTTGTTCAATTTTCCAACAAGTCATTTTGTCAAATTGCTTACCTGCTACAGCTGCCCCAGTCACCTGTAAATGCTGTTTGTGTGAAGTACTAACATTTACAAGCAACAGTTAGCTGTGAAGTGTTAGGCCACACAAGAAAAATACAGTCGAATTCTCTCAAAAAATCATTCTGGGGCAATGGAAAAGCACTCTCTGGAGTGATGAATCATGCTTTACCATATGTAGTGCACTATGTAGGACATAAAATAATGGCTTCTACACCCTAATAATGCATCATGTGTCTAATAGAAAGCCATATATATTCAACCAAAGGCTGCACTGCTCCCTATCTAACATTTAGCGCTCTATTTTCATGTAGGAGTTGTAGTTGCATGGCCTGTGCAGTGCTCTATATAGGAGCCATTTGAGATTCAGCCCGTGTTTTGTGAATGCCAGGAGAACATTACTTGTCTAAATGTATAGTCTGGTGGAGGAGGAATAATATATGTGGGCCTGTTTTTCATGGTTGAACAATGCCCCTCTTAGGTGAAGGGTAATCTTAATGCGACAGCATACAGTTATATTCTAGAAAAACACGTGCTTCGGACTTTGTGACAGTAGTTTGGGAACGGCCATCTTCTGTTTCAGCAAGGCAGTGCCCCCATTCGCAAAGGCCATAAAGAAATAGTGCATAAAGTCCATAAAAAACAGTTTGCCAAGTTTTGCATGGAGAAATTATAGGAGGGACTTTTTTTACTGATACACATACCTGTTTCTCCATTCACTGATTATTTTAGGCCCATCTTGTGTCTGTTGCAGTTGTGTTCATTTTTGGTGGTTTTTTTGTTTGTGAGTGACTGTGAGCCAGAATCTTGCAGCTAAATGGAAGTGAATCCTTCCATCCTTGTTCCAAAATCTAGTGGAACAAGTGGAGGCTGTTATAACAGCAAAAGCATGAGTAAGGTATCCACATACTTTTGTCCTCACAGTATGTCACGAAATTGTTCTTAGCAAGTTTGGTCTGGTTGCCGGCGCTTCTTTCAGACGCGGATTAAGCGGCTCGGGGTGTGCCGCGGCATCAAGCAGCAGCAGAGGCGGAGGGAGACATAACACAGGACGAAGCGCTTTGGCTCTTCAGCTGGCCGGCTGCTTTGGCGGGTGAGAGTGTCGCGCGCACCCAAATCATCTTAGTTAACCAAACCCATCGCGCTGTATTTTAACCGAGTTACTTCATGACGGCCCCGCCGTGTCCGTTATTATAAATGATATCTTAGAGAAATCACTTATTTCATTCATTATCTTTTCTAGAATTGACCTTCTGTTTGAAGGGGTCTCTTTTCCGCGCTCTTCTTCCTACATCGTCGTTCTCCGTCTCTCCTGGCTGACTGAGAAAGCAAACGCCGTCTGAACGACTGCAGAGACACCGACTGACTGCGCCAAAATGGGGGTAAGCACTAAACTTAATGTTTAGCCTATTAGGCACCTGTTTGTGTGGTTTATTTTACCATATTTTTTGTCATATTTTGATTTCCATCCCAGATTTCGGTTACCTTAGTGGGAATGCACTGTAACCCCCCATCAGCAATATCCATCCTCTTCGTCTAATCTTCATACCTTTCAGCTATGGTGGACAGAGGATGGGTTTTACATCACCAACATTATAAAATAATGGTGCAGGACGCTTCAGATCTGTTCAGTACAAGACGGTTCATAATAAGTCATAATGCGGTTAGAAGAAGACGGGAAACCCATCGTCGAAATCCAGCTCAGTACACTGGCAGACATATTACATACTGGAGACACGATTGATATGCAAGAGATGGACACATTTTGCTACAGCACATGGTTTTAGAAATATACGAAAACACACGAACTGATTATTTACCTTATTAGGAATACGTGACTCGTTTTTAGGAAGCTTCATCATATCTTCTCAATCCCTTTTGTAAAGTATATGTTCAGGCAGAATTAATTGCAGAGTATGTTACAGAGAATATCCTAGTATGATTTTAGCATAGTCCTGACAAGATGTGGTGCAGTTCTGTCAACGATTACAGATAAATTAAAAATTAAGGGTGGGGACTCCAATTGGTGCAAAGGATGCACATACGCTGCCCTCTTTTGATACTTTTCCCAGCCACACAGTGTTTGCTGGATTCGTGACATACATCGATTCCAAATGGTCGATAAAGGGAACAGAAAGGACTGGTGAAGAGCGGTGCAGACAACTGCGTCAAGATGGATGCCTGCTCCCCCCCCAGTTTCTGCGCTGATTACTGGTTCAAATTAGTGTTTACAGTCCAGATGCAGATGTCAAGATGCAGTATAAGCACATTTCTTTCACATTAAGGTTAATAATACATTGAAAGTTTTGTGGTATCAGAGTGTCCTTCCAAATATTCAGTCGGTTGGATTGGTCAAAAAGGCATATGTTGAAGTCATCTTGAAAATACCTGCGGCTCATCAAAGCTCTGACGCATATCCTTTAATCACCGCTGTTTTAATTGCTCAGTATTTTATGAATGCTGTATGTTGTCAAGACTCTCTAAATGGTGTCGTTCAGTCTTAGTCATATCAGTCAGGGACTGCGTTTGACACTCTGTGACTGCCTCAAGGGGGATGTTGGTCAGTCAGAGTGGAAATTCCCAGTGCTGGTGCTGCTGTCATGCATTCATTTGCACCACAGGGATAATAATGTTGAACGGTAGTAGGTAATTTAGACAAACCATCAAAGCCAATCAAAGGTTGATTGACCAGAAGCTGCGTCCAGCTGGTGCATTGAGTAAAGATGAACGAAGGTCAGGCACTCGAAGGGTCATGTGGAAGGGTGGTAATTTCTTGACAGGAAATGGGGGAGGACAGAGGAGGAGGGGGAAAAGATGGAGATTGTGTCACCTTGAGGTAGCCTCAGCCGGTGGTTTGGCATCAGAGGCTCAGGTGCGATAGAGGGTCGAGGCAGGTACGGCGGTGAGGAGAGAGGTAATACAGTGCCATAAAAATACAAGCCATGAGAAGCATTTTTCACTTCCTTGCCTCACTGTTGATGTCTTCTTTCAATATAATGCAGTCTAATGCAAAACAATGTAGGCGTTACTGAGATGCATACAAATCAGCATGTTATGCAACCCAAAGGAGGAGGTGTGTAGTGAGTGTGTAGGGGTGTGTGTGTGAGTGTGTAAGAGAGAGGCAGACAGAGACAGAGAGAGAATGAGTCAGAGCTGGAAGACAAGAAGTGTGATTATACATCGTTGTGTAAAACACTCTGTTCGATATATCATTCACATCGACAGGACTGGTTGTTCCCGGTGAGCGAGGGGGACAGAAAAAGTGTGTGTAGGCATGTGTGTATTATGTAGTTTCCACTATTTATGTATCCATAATGATTTTATGCCATAGCCCACAGTCTCCCAATCAATACACACAGGCTGTTGTGCTACGCATTGATGGTGGTGATGTCATGCCCGTTTGGACATCCCCCAGTCGATCAAGAAGCTTAATTTGGTTGATCCTCTCAACAGCAATTCAATCTGTTTTCTCTCCTACAAAGTTAATTGTTTAGATTTTATTTTACTGATCATAATGGGTAACAAAAGATAACATCACTAGACAGCTCTTATTTTACTTACCTGGATCCACCATCTCTTAAAGAAACAGAAAATAACAGACTGATAAACATTTCTGATTGCTGAGCCTTGTCACAAAGGTTAAGAACTACACAACAAAATGACTACATAGATAATGAGGAGGTTTACACTTTTAAAAAATTGCCACAAGGGTGTACTTTGAGTGATGGAATAAAACTACATTTAGTTCCTGTAAGAACTGTGTTTAAAGAAGTGATTTGTGAGTGTAATGAACTTTTTAGTGGTTTAAACTAAAAAATGTTTTGATTTGGAAACTGTGGGCTGTTGCAGATATTTGATATAAGGAATGCATCAATATCGATACTGGTATTGAGTGTCGGCCCGATACTATGCGCATTTACTTGTACTAGACCTCATAAAAGTGCTCCAATACTAACATCCGATTCCACCTAATACCTTATGATACCACGTGTATGCTGCCACACTAATGAACAAACAGTTCAAGCTGGCAGTGATCAACTGCTCATACAGAGAAGTGTTGCTAACCCTATGGAGAGTGTACACAAAGGTGCTGGTCACTTTTAACATTCCGCCTTTGCATATTTCTTCCAGTCATTAGGGGTAGGGGAAAATTTGATTCTTAGATGCATCGCGATGCAGACGAGACGATTCTGAATCGATTCACAAATTTCAAAAATTGATTTTCTAAATTTTAATTCATAACGTAATGTTGACGGAATGCAAAAGGCGGAACTTGGAAGTGCGGAAGTGCAGCACCCGGACAGTCTGTGGCATGCACATAACAAAAACACTTAGCATTAAAAGCTAAGTTAGGTCAGGAGTCGACAACACAAACAATAAAAAGAGCCATTTTGTCCTTTCAACAAAAATCAAACTATCTTGGGAGCCACAACATTTTATGTCCAATATGTCTCAGTACGTGCTAGTGTCCTAGTATAGGCTAAAAAATATAGATGAAAATGCAGACTTACTTTGCTCTGCTTTAAGCTTTAGCTATAGCTGTTTTCCTCCCATCTCCGCCAGGACACTTTTCCTCAAAGGTTGAATAGTTTCTTGTAAAATGTCTCTCAACTTTCGACTGTTTAACGAGGCTGAAGTCAGCTTCTCATTCTCCAGCTTCTTGTTTGAATTTTCCCGTTCCACCTTAAATTCTGACTGAGGCGCCAAATGTAAATGCGGCACCATTTAAGGTGGAACGGGAAAATTCAAAAGAGAAGCTGACTTCATCTTCGCAACTTTTTAGTGTTTGACAGTCTCTTATTGCAGATTTAACGTACTAGGAAACCAACTGCAGTGCTTATAAATGCGAATAAGGCTTTTCGTTAGCTACGCTAGGCGAGATTGCATTTCTGTGTGACCTGCAGTCTGCACGCCAGTTCTCAGTTGTTGAGAACCAGGGCTTTCACGGTATGTTGCAAACGTCCCATTGCGCATATTTTTTGCTGACACAGCGATCGATTATTGTTTTATAATTGCATCGCAGCCCTCTGAATCGTAATCGAATCCAATCGTGTGGTGCCTAGAGATTCCCACCCCTACCAGTCATACACTGCCTGATTTTGGCCAGTTTTTAAGCACACATAAACACAATCACAACTGCTTCCCTAGTACAGGTGGAAACACATAGGTTAACAAAACAGGCCAAACAAGTCAACATTTGTTACCAAAGGTCGTATATGCCGACTTTACATTATAAGCATTAATACAGTGATTTTTTAAGCTGTCTTTGTAAAATAGAGAATTGTTCTACTGTGTACATCGCCACTTGGTTTTAGTACTTAGCAGAGCTGCAGTAGCTCAGTTTATCAACATGTTTGCTCAGTACTCGTGTGCAGCGTGTTATTTTGAATGAAACAGCTTTATTTAACATTTTTCATAGACAGAGCTGTCTGTAGGGACTGCATTTCATATAGCATGGAGGGAGCGTTTTCTTACGGTGTGGGCATGTCCGTACAAGATGGTCCTACTGTCACAGAGACCACTGAGGAGCATGAGAACAAAACTATGAAATGTACTTTACTTACAGCTGTCCAGAAGCATTTTCCTAACGTGGCACAAAATTCTCCACTGCAGTACTACTCAATTCAAGGTATCTAATGTAACATAGCTAGCTAATGCATTTCATTTAAAATCAGCTAGATTTTAACAGTTTAATTGTTAAGGTACATTGCACTCATTTACTCTAACAACTACTTAATTTTAAGTAGGTTCATTATGATATCAGACTTGGTATTTTGGGTACTAAAGAACATGTACTTGTGCTCATACTCAGTGTGAAAAAATGATATTGATACATCCCTATCCAATATTATTCATGTACATATCTGCCAATGCCAAAACCGACAATGATTCATAAACATTTATAAAAGGCATTACCATTACGGACAAATATAACATTTACCAGTACAGAAAAAATAAATAAAAAGCACAGTTGCCCAGTATTGTCTAAACCAGAGGTCACTAATAGACAGAGGTGAGAAACATGACTGGAGAAGAAGTGAGTCAGAGGGAAATAATTTTACATGGTGTGCTCTAAAAAGAGAAAACTGACAATAAATGTTGTTGAAATATTACTGAATTGTTCTTTATTTGATTTCACATTCAGTTGTTGACTGCATAAGATGTTGATCTAACTACTAGGCTACTTCAGTATACAGTGTATGAATCATAATACAAGTTAGACATTATGATGTTCCGGACCTTTGCTTGAGGAAATTTTTTCTAACTGGACCTTATTGAATTTTAGTTAAAGACCCCTGGTCTAAACGTTCTGCTCTTACATAAAACAATCAGTACATCATCAAATATTGATTTGAAGTATCGGTAAAATCCATTTGTCTGT